CACAGAAAAAAAAATTCGCGACCCGCTCACCAGTGTTTCTGTATTAAATACGTATATATAATTTAACCATTTGTTATCCTGTATTTTGGTTATTTTCCAACTTCGCTGTTTTCTTTCATACTGTGTATTTTAGTTGTTTTCTGAAATTCATATTTTATGACTCTAGATTATTAAAAGAACTCTGTATTTCCTTGTCTTTGAGAACTTTGAAATTTAGCATTCTGAATTCTCTGGATTAAACAATTGGCCATAGCCAGCCCGATTTTTCAGAATCATTATGCTTCGTGATCATTCGAGTGTTTTAAGTATTGTGTCTTAGATATGACAGTGAGAGAGATAATCCTGAAAACTAGAAGATAAGGCCGAGCAGAAGTCTGACTACCGAAACGCCAGTTTGCTGACTGTGGCATACATAGTACGAATGCGAAGGAGGAGTCCAGAAGTCCGTTTCCCGAGTCAATTCTCGGAAATTCGAGGATTCCCGCCAATTCTGCATGATTGCTTCGCATTTGTTTAGCTTCTCGGCTCACATTCCAATTTACTTCACGCAGTTATTGCTCAGGGAATATTCCTACAAAATTTCAGCCCCTTAGCTCATTTGGTTCTCGAAATCGCTTTCCCGCCAAAAAATTTGCATATTTTTTAGAGCGTCCGTACACACCATCTAGGCGCCCGCAAGGGATGAAATTAAAACGGGAGGGTCGCGCATGGTATTGGCACATATCCCCAAAGTTTCAGCTTTCTAGCTTTTCTGGGTCTCGAGTTGAAAGTGGATGACAAAAAGTGCAGACACACACAGACACACACACGCACACACACACGCACACACACACACACAGACAGCCTCTTCCCAATATGCGTTTTTGCAATTTACATATATGCATATATGCAAAAACGCATAAAAACGCATATTGCAACGACCCTGTCTGTGTGTATATGTGTATTTGTGTGTGTTTGTGTTCGTCTGTCCCGGTACTTCAACTCAGCAACCAAGCAAATCCCAGTGCCAAGATTTTGCTATTAGGCTCCCCGGCCAAGTGCCACCCCAGAACTACGGTACCAAATCCCA